TCAAAAAAAAAAAAAAAATACTCCTCTGAAATAAATCTAAAAGATATTTCAGTGTATGGAATTTTATTAAAATAGGGTTCACTTGTACCACTAAGCTTATTAAAATAATTGAAGGAACGTAGCCAGTGAAGCTAGTCATAGAAATGTGGCTTAAGGCTGGCACAGTGGCTCACACCTATGATCCCAGCACTGTCGGAGGCCAAGCAGGAGAATTGCTCGAGGCCAGGAGTTCAAGACCAACCTGAGCAACATAGCAAGACCCCATCTCTACAAGAAACTTTCAAAACTTAGCTGGGCATGGTGGTGCACATCTGTAGGCCCAGCTACTCGGGAGGCCGAGGCAGGAGGATCACTTGAGCCCAGGAGTTTCAGGTTACGGTGAGCTAGGATTGTGCTGCTGCACTCCAGCCTGAGTGACAGAGCAAGAGTCTGTCTCTAAAAAAAATAAAACTGTGGCTTAGACTGTGCTGAGCTTTCCAAACACTAACGCAGTCTGAGATTTCTTGGGAGTCATGGCCCAAAGGCCATTTTAAATGACCCATTTACACGCACTTTTGTACTGGTGGATTACTAAGCTGATGGTTTGTGAGAATTTAGAAAAGCAGACAGTAGCCATGAAGAGTCGACACAGTTGCTAAGAACAAACCAGGATAGACATACTCGTTTCTTTTTGGAGAGGACTTCAGGGCAGGCAGGTGAGGTAAATCACATTTCTGTGTCAGCAAATCACTGGACCAAGTCTTCCCCAGCTGACTGGTTGGTAAGACGGGGCCCGGCTGCGTATTTACTGAGGTTCAGCACAGCTGGCTGAAGAGCCAGGAACAGTGATGAACAAGTCTGTGGCTACCGAAAATCTCCATTTAGTGGAGGGCTGCAGGGCTGTGCACTCGATCCCGCTACACAGCGAGGAGCTGAATGAAGACTGAGAAGGCACCCTTACCAACTTTCAGGTGGAACAAAGAGGGAATAGTCGATGTTACAGGTGACAGGATTTGCCCCCAGTGTACAAACGCCCCAGTGCTCTAAGCCCTTGCGGCTTGATGAGCAGCAAATCCTTTTTCCCGAGCTTGCCCTCCCTCCATGAGTCTCGGCAGCAAGGCAGGGTCCAGATGTTGGGTGTGCTCTGCTCTGAACTTTCTGCTCCTTGAGCTGCTCTTCGGCTACCTGTAGGTGCTGCCCAGGCCACTGTCCCTGACTTGGGGACCTCCTCCAGGTGCCAGCCTCGGTGGAGCCAAGCTCTGAGCTTGGAGCGTGGCTCACTCACTCTCCATCTTCAAGAACTCCCCCTTTTGCTTCTCGGGACCAACTCCTTCAGAGGGAGCTCCCACCAGGGCCCCTGGTGACACAATTCTTTCCTTCTACCTCAGAGTACGTGGGGCTGGCTTAGATGGGGCTGTGGAGGGGAAGGGTTCAACAAAGCCATGTGTCTCCCCAACATCCCTCCAACAGCACCCAGGCTGTCCCACTCTGCTAGACATCTCCAACCACCCGAATGTTCCAGGGAAGTTAAGAGATTGTTCTGCTCAGAACATGAGGCAGGACACCTTTTTACAGAATAAAATGCAATGTAAATGTAAAGCCTTTCTAAGGAATGGACCCTAAATGTCAAAATGTCAGTTGCACAGGGTATGACTCATGGAAAAAGACCTTGTGGTTTTCATTGACCTGAACCTCAATATTTGCCTGTGTGACGTGTCTTCTAAAAAAGTCAACAGAAACCTGGCTTTGCAATTGATGCACAGGGTATGGATCGCGGGAAGTGATCTGCTTACCATTTATGGGTTCACACCTGAAATACTGTGTTCCGCTTATGGGGCCACCTTTTGGGAATGACCTTGGTAAAGAAGAGAGCAACAAGACTGAAGAGGTGTGTGCAAACTGTGTGGTAGGAGGAGTAATTGAAGGGATGGGGAATGGTTGTCTAGGACAAGGTGAGGGCAGACAGATCCTTGTTGCCTGCGTGTTGGGCACACTGTCACGTGGGAGAGGACAGAAATGAAACCAGCAAAGGGCTGTTTGAAGAAGTCAGATTTTGCCTCAATATAACGACATACTTTCTGATAAGTAGATTAAAATTTTATAACGTTTCCCAATGTCTCAAGACTTTCAAAGCAAAGAGTGGGTATTACATAGTAAAATCTGCTCATTCAACAAATAATTACTATGTGCAAGGCACTGTTCTAGGTGCTGGGGATACAAAAATGAACAGATAAAATTCTCCCCTGCCCTCAAGAATTTAATATTCTAGTGTCAAAATAGTAACATCTAAACACAGGTAACGTTTCGTTTTCCATGAGAAATGCTCAGAACGATGTGTCACAGCAGGTGGCCTTAGCTATGATGCTATTGGAGAATGTGCACTGGTTAACGTGAGTCCCCTTGACATTTCCAGCTTGGCCTTTCAAACATACAGGAGAGAATACAACGTCACGTGGGTGCCCATGAGGCTCCACAAAGAATGTCACCCGCCCAAGCGAGCCTGTTGAGGTCACAGTGGTGCGGCCAGCACTGAGATCTTGATTTGCTGAAGCTGAGTGGTAGCTGCATGAATGTGCATGACGCCATTCTCTCTACCTTTCTGTGTAGGTTAGGAATTTTCCAGAATAAAAACATTTTAATATTAAAGAAATCCAACAATTGCCCTATGTGGGCATAGGAGGCCTCTTGAAGTCAAGGGTTCCATTATGCTTGAAGGCTTAAGCAGCTTAAGCATAAATGAATAACCATCCATCAGAAATGCTCTAAAAGTAATTTCTGTGTTAAATAAGAAGATGAAATGGATGACCTTAGATTCCTTTAGATACTAAGAGTCTATATTCTAGTGGAAGATCTAAAATATAATTGGAACAAACAAGCATGGACTTGGATTGATTCCAGAGATGGTACATATGGATTGAGGTCTATTTACTCTCTGCTGCTAACCAAATGTCATGAAATTGAGCACTGATTCTCAGTTTTGTCTAAGCATTTAATGATCATTTTCATAATTATTTCGCCAGATTGACTTTCAATCCTTTTTTCTTTTTTGCTTCCAAAACTAAAAAAGATTGCTCAAGTTAAAATAGATGCTTACAGCTATTGTATTTTACGAATATTTGTGAATTTTAGATCTTCCTCTTGAATCTTAGCTGTATGAAAAGTGCCTTCAAAACAATGTCCATTATCCCAGAAAGCCACGCGTGTACCCTCTTCGTGTGCAGCGAATTTCGGTGTGCTCCCTGCATGGTGCCCTAATTACACCTTTGTTATCCATTGTCAGTTGACTCCCCTCATCAGCCAAGCCTGCGACCTTCTCCTGGCTCATTTAAAACGCTGTGCAGAATCCGGGGCCGCGTTCGACGTCCAGAGGTAAGGGGGGGCTGCATTCCCTATGAGAAATCGCAGTTCTCAATTGCTGCTTCTTGTAACAGTGCGTAATTGCCGGACAATTACCTTGGGACTAGCAAACTGTGGAAATGCTAGGCGCTCATAAAAGCATGGATGAACTGACTCATAAGGAGAAATGAAACCCACTTCAAATGTGCGATGAATGTGAACAAAGCCCAGGGATGTGTGGCCTGGGGAGGGGGAGCCTGGACCTTCCAGACTCAGGCCGGGGCAGGGAGGGGCCTGGGAAAAAGTCCAGGCACTTTCACGTCGAGACAGATCGTGGAGCACCTCGGCCTAGACGCCGTGACTTGGGTGGACACCAGATCTAAATTATCTGGCTTTTCTCCTAGAAATCTTTAGTTGTCTTACGCCAAATCATGGCTTACCGCAGATTAGGCATACAGTGAGGATGTCAAATCAGCCAGAAGCCAACTCATTATCATTGCTAATAAAATAACATAATCATCACCAACATTTATATTGTACCATATTGTTTACAAAGCCTTCTCATCCACATTCTCTTTGATTATAGGATGCAGGAGTTGGCTAAAGATTAGGTGGCCTTGTCATCTATAAAAGCAAAGTAAATAACTCCTGAAAAACCCTAAAATCTTCAACCCTTAGGGTTAGATGAAATCACATGCAATAGTCTCCTTCGTGTTTTCACTATAGCAGGGAAATGTGTAATCAATTGTAGCAAGGTTTTCAATAAAAGCAGTCAAAATTTTAAAAGTCATCTGGAAATGTCATTTATTCCTTCACGATGAGTTAGTGGTTATATAACTTAAGCAGAAGAGGAACTAAGTGTGTGCCTACATCAAGGAACAAAAATAGACTCTTTAATTATAAATGGATATTAATAACCCAGTTGTTAGCTTTTTTAAAATGAACTTAATCTGACTACTCCTATAAGATAACAAAAAAAGAATAATTCTAGTTTAAAACGGTCTTTGCGGGGACAGGTTTCCTGTAGCCTAAGAGGTTAAATTTTCTGAAGCTACTGCCAGACACTTTCCCTTCTGTTTGTTTCTAAAGTGCACTGTGTGTTTTCTGTAATAATATACATATGTTCACGAAGCCTGTCCCGAAGTTTGTCTTCTATTTATTTAAGTGTGAAGAGCCCTTATTTTTTGTTTGTTGCTTTAAAGAAAACTGTAAAATCATTAGGAAGAAGAAGGGGACAAAGTTAATACAACTGGATGATGAGGTTGTTAATTCATCAATGACAATTTGATGTGTATCAATTAATCATTAGATCCTGGCCCGAGCTGGGCCGTGCAGAGCTTCGGGGGAAAGCGCGCAGGCTTTGGGTCACCTCTTTGCCCTTCTGCACAGGGAGGAGACCGTAAAGCGTCTTTCTCAGTATTTGGCTGTGTTCTGGTCCATTGCAGCTGCCTGAAGCCTGAGGGCTGAGTAAGCGGTGTCCTCCTCCTCCCGGCCCTGGTCTCTGTTTAGATAAGCTAGCTGCCGGCTTCGGCTTCGTGTCTCCTCCCACGTTCTGCTGTTGCTCTCAGGGGGCCTTGGCCCACAGCCCCCGTCCCTCCACCTCACTGCAGATCCACGGCAAGCTGTCTTGCCAGCACTTCTGCAGGGCTGGGAGTGCGGGTGCAGCAGCTTCCTCAGGAGGGGGCTTTGTGGAAAGGCCAGTGCCAGAGTCCTTTCTAATCCCAATGTTCCCATCTCCGTAGGTGCTACTGCTGTTACGCCACAGACGTGGTTGCCAGTGTCGCCTTCGGCACCGAGGTGGACTCCTGGACGGCTCCCGAGCACCCCTTTGTGAAACACTGCAGGCGTTTCTTCCAATTCAGCATCCCCAGGCCGCTCTTGGTTTTGATCTGTAAGTGCAGCTCCAGCCAGGGGTGCCACATCTGGACGAGGGCAAATTGGGCGGCTCTCTGGGCTCTGCCCCTGCTACTAGGAAAGGGCACCCAGGATGTCTCTGAGAGTTCCCTGCAGGGGCTTTGTCCTCCTGGAGCCACCAAGCTCCTCTGGTCACCAGCCTAGGACCACTTATTACCAATGCAGGAGCCCCGGCCTCGCTCACCGCCACCACGGTGAGAACAGCAGCAACACATGGTGCTAAGCACTCTGTGTGTATTGCTTCACTGAGTCCTGGTATTCGCCCTATGAGAAAGATATTCTTGTCCCCATTTTTTGGATGAGAAAACTGAGGCCTAGAAAGGCAGAGCCCAGACTGGAGCCCAAAACCTTTCATTTTCTAGGGCATTTTTCTCCCTGCCAGCAAAATCCTCTTCCTTCACTTGAAGCCCGGTGCATAGTAAACTAGAGATCACATGCGGTGGAAGACTAGTAGGTCATCTAACGCTACAGAGACTAGCCCACTGATTTTATTTAGCCTCCTGATTTTATTTTTATTGTAGAAGTGAGTTTTTGCCCTCTGGCCAATTCCAGTATCTTCTTGCTTTTATGAACGCATTGAAGTGTTGCTATTATTGATTATTGCCATGATTTCTAACCATTCTGCTGGGCTGGTAAACTCTACTCACTCCTCGGTCAGTTCATCCCCATTTCTGAGCCAGTTTCAGGGGGGGGCCCTGTCACCTCCATCAGCTCCACCCTGAAGCTGGGGTTGCTGTGGGGTCCAGTAGTCTCTTCCCTTGTCCCCCACTACCCCCCGCAGGCAGCTGCTCCCTGGTGCCCTATTCTCCCACCCCCCACCCACTGCTGAGCCCTCCTCCCTGCTGTGTTGTGTTGGTTCGGGCTCCTGCTCTGGAAAATGGGCCGGGCATTCTGAGAGCCTGTGTATGTGGAACTTTCTCTCCAGCCCAGCTCCCATGCAGAGGCTGGCACATAGTAGGCCCACTGTGGACACAGTGAGACTGAGCTGAGCTGAGTTCCCCTACACACGGCCCAGCCCTGGGTCAGAGCCTCTGCCTAGGATGGATTAAATGTTCCTGACCCGGGCAGCAGGGCCCAAGCTGCCTGTGGCCCTCCAAGGGAGGCACCACGGATGAGGCCAGCATCCTCATCAGCAGCAACAACGGCAGCTCTTAGCAACAATTCAGGGGGTCGCTCTGGGGACAATTATCCAGAGGGAGAACATGCAAATGACCAGAAAGTTTAAAAAGTAAATCAGCTTCTACCACTTGCTAAGACTTGAAACAGCCAGTAATCTGTTCTCTCTTGGTGAAATTCCAAGACCTTGGGCCCTCCTGTCTAGGACCCAAAACATTAATTTATGGGATTGACCTCTTGAGGGCCAGATGGCAGTGAGGACTCAATTAACTGCCCAGATGTTTATTGAGTGCTTACTATGTGCAGGGGACGGCGAGGCGCGGAGATGGAGGGAGATGCGGCGGCTGCTCCCAGAGCCGCAGTGCCGCGGGGAGGGCAGGCTCCGACTGGCTCCGATTCCAGGCCTCGCGCCTTCCTGGTAACAGGCGTCTGTCTAATGGTCCCGGTTTATTGCCGCCCCCTCTCAATGCCACTTTTGTTTTTCTCTTTCAAGTATCATTTCCATCCATAATGGTCCCACTGGCCCGGATTTTGCCCAATAAGAACCGAGATGAACTGAATGGCTTTTTTAACAAACTCATTAGGAATGTGATTGCCTTGCGGGACCAGCAAGCCGCGGAAGAGGTAACGTATTTTAATAGGACAACGCCTTGAAATGGAATGGAACCCAATTTGGCATCCCTGTCTCTTTTCTTTCTCTTCCCTCCCAACGCCGCGCGACACACCATGCCGTCCTTTAGCAATCCGCCGCTTAGCAGCGCTTTCCAGGGGCAGGAGAAAGAACAGAGAAAGGTTGAGGATGGTCACACAAGAAAGAGCAGGTGGGACAGCAGCGAGGAGAGGCCCAGAGCAATTTGTCCGTCCTCTGACATGGACGAGTAGAATTAAAGCTGTCCCCAAACTGCCTCTGTAGTTTAAGCATCACCTCGAATGCAGGTTATAGCAGCCCAAAAGAATTTTCTAGATAAACGTGCCCACATGTAATTTTCATGAGCATATCCTTTATGTCACAAAACAGCGAGATGGAGTTTTACAGCGTGGATGGCATAAATATCAGAGAGGGGTTCAGGCAACTGTCACTCCCTCCCGCATTCCCTCTCTGCACGGAGGGTGTTGCTGCAGAAGTCGGGGTGAGGGCCCTCTGGGCTCATTAGCATGCTTCATGGGACACCCGGAGTTTGCTTTCCTCCTTACAGACTTGCACTATGCTTGGCACCGAGTAGGAATCAAGTAAATGTTTGTTGATTGAACTTGGCTCTAAATAGAAAGGGGAGTTTTCAGTGTGATGAAAGATAATTTCAATCTTGGATACGCTCGTGCATGTGTAAGGGCCTTGTTGCATTAGAGTTTCTGAAAAGGAACAATGGCCCAAATGGCTTTTCCTTAACTGACTTGTGCAAGATGGAACTTTAATAGGGGTTTCTCCACTGGGTAGCTCGGAGGAATTCATGAGGTCCAATTGCTAAGGCAGTGGCCTAGAATGAAATTGGGGTCAATGAGTGGCTTGGTACACCGAGAAGCCTGGGGCAGCAACCTCATCCTGCCCAGCCTCACTCTGCGTACGTGCAGCACACGTGTCTGGCTCTGGAAGGCATGGGAAGGAATAGATAAGCTCATGGCACCTTGGTCCCCACCACGGTGAGCTCAACTTGAATGCCCTTGGAGGTGAGGGAAGAGTCAGCCACTGGCATCCTTGGCCCGGCTCTGAGGCCTGAAAGTACAGAATATTCTTATCCAGGCTCCTGCTTCTCAGCAGAGTGAGGATGGAGCCTGGGGGAGGAAGGATGAAGGAAGAACCATTTTCAAGCCTCTACATTACTATAATACAAAGGGCTGTCCTTTGAGAGCTTTGTCACATACGCACACAGACACACACACACCCCTCTCCTGGCTGTGGAATCAGGCTGAAATTTTTAAAACTGTTGCACCCAATGACTTACTAAGAGGTGAGAGGTTATTAAAGATCCAATTACTGGGATTGCCTAGAGCTTTTCCTTTTATAAACTCTAGTGCTATTTGTTTCAAACAATGAGTTGATCTGAGAAAAACCTCCCAACCACAAATCCAGGACTGCCTGTGTCAAGACAGAGCTATACGGTTACTAAGAAAACTTGCTTTAAAACCATCTACACTCTGTATACATTCCATCAAGCAGATGTGTGTTTGCGCAGTGAAAATGCAGCACAGATGTTAAAAGGTAAATATTTTTCTAAGCTCTAGCCGATGGGCGGATTAGACACCTACATCTATCAGGGTGCGTATTTTGCTTGGATATAACCATAAACCAGCACTGTTTCAGTCCTAAATGGGCAGTGTTCAGATAGCCTCCACGACGCAGTGTGAATAAAAGAAACCCGTCTACGCTAATGTTCCTCTCCGATGGCAGGGCGGGCCCTAGAGAGCGGCTTATTCCTCTGGCCTCTGTAGCTAGAGGTCAAGACAGACTTCTACAAGACTCCAGCGGGCCGTTAGCAGCTTGTCTGAGCCTGGGTAAGAGGAAAGGATGCCAGCCACAGTTCTGCCCCTGGAAAAATACACAGTGGACGTGGCTGTGCCCTCCCTCCCATCATTTCCCCTCCCCCAGCCCCACAAAGCCACAGCCAGGCCTCAGGGACCACAAATGTATGGCACCCCGAGGAGTTTCAGATGGATGGGCTGAGAGGTCTGGGGGTGTTCTGGGGTCCCAGGCCAGTGGCCAGGAGCTGAGGGAGCAGAGGGTGCTTACTTACCCTGAGTGGCATCTTCCCCTGCCCCAGCGCTGCCCCCAGGGAGCAGGGCTAGCAGTGGGACCACACCGGCCACCCAGATGCTGACCAAGCAGCAGGAGGGAAGCCAGAGAAAGCTAGCCTTGGAGGGTGCTGTTTGGAAACCAGAATGAGCCAGGGTGGCATGAGGCGGCCATCTGTCCCCGACCCTTCACCATTTTCTCAGCCATCACAACCCGAGCAGGCTGGTGGGAGGCTGAGGCCCTGCCTCTTCAGCCTCAAGGTTTGTGACGCCCACAGTCTTCACCTTCAGCACTGCTGGGACCTCAGCAGACCCCTTCCAAGATCACAAAGCCGGGAGGCAGTAGAGATGCAAAGGTCTCATGATCCAAGGTTCCTGCTCTAAATAGCATGCAGTGGTAGTCAAACCCAACACATCCTTCCTTAAAATGCATTTGTTGCCTTGTGTTTTTATTTGTGGAATTATGGATTGCATACTTAACACATGCTCAGCACAATACTATGCACGGCGTAGGGGGTGGGAGTGGGGTCCTGCCCTGGAGATGCTTGTAATCTTATGGAGGAGAAAACGCAACCACACATGAAATGACAACAGTCTTAAAAGATGGAATTCATGGGGCCGGGCGCGGTGGCTCATGCCTGTAATCCTAGCACTCTGGGAGGCCGAGGCGGGCGGATTGTTTGAGCTCAGTAGTTCGAGACTAGCCTGAGCAAGAGTGAGACCCCACCTCTACTAAAATTAGAAAGAAATTAATCGGCCAACTAAAAATATATATAGAAAAAATTTGCTGGGCATGGTGGCGCATGCCTGTAGTCCCAGCTACTTGGGAGGCTGAGGCAGAAGGATTGCTTGAGCCCAGGAGTTTGAGGTTGCTGTGAGCTAGGCTGACGCCATGGCACTCACTCTAGCCAGGGCAAAAGAGTGAGACTCTGTCTCAAAAAAAAAAAAAAAAAAAAGATGGAATTCAGGGCTAATGTGTGTGGCATAGATTATTAATGCAAAAGAAATTCAGAAGCCAACGGATTGAGAAAATGCTACAACTAGTAAAGTACTTTGAAATTATACTAGTTTTCTGTTGGTGGTTCTGATACTCTCCTTCTGCCATTTTAGTCCCATAAACTTCAGAAAAGAGCAACATATTGGTTGTCATTCATCACATGAAAGAGCATTTGAAAGAAGGGGCGTGCCAGGAATACACTTTGTTGACCCTGAAGTGATATAGGACTGCTTCTACTGTTACAATTAGTGGTGGTACAAGTGTAAAGAATATGCAAATTGCTGATTATAAAAAAGGTAGGGAAATGGTAAAGAAGCTCTAACCACTTACATGGGCAGGGGATTACTGAGGGGGAAAAAGTGAACCGACAGGAAGAGACTGGGCTCGGGGACACAGAAGGCACAGTCTGCAGACTTTGAAGACAAGCTTCACCAAAGCCAGTTTCCCTTAACTTTCTACCTTGTGAGGAGCACTTCCAGCTGCCCATATGAGCCCCAAAGTGTGCATAAGTGAACAGTGGAGGCCTTGCTTTTGTCAGGTTTCAGTGTGAAAATGTGGGTTCTTGATGCGCTCATGGCCGAAGAATGACCAGACACACCATAGTAAGGCAAGCACGAAATCGAGGTTTACTGGGGAGAGGAAGACAGGATTATAGGGCAATAGCAAGATATACGTTTACAGAGTGTAAAACATACACCACAGATGACGACCAGACCCATCATCGCAGCAAAGGGAGAGCGAAAGGAAGGGCAAAAAGGTCCTGGTTATGGTCTGTGGCTTGTTTTATAATGCCTGGATTGGGACCTCCCTCGTGGTTCAGAGGTCACCATGGAACCACTTTGATTGGACAGTTGGGGGTCACATGACCTGAGTCTTAACTACGCATACATGTTGTTCTAGGTCAATTTCTAGACTCTCTGGTACCAATGCTGCTTGGCCCATGAGCTAGAGAGTCCTCTGCACTCTTTTGCAGCTGGTGCACTAAGTTCTGGTTGGCTGATTCCTAGGGTATTCCCTTCCTCCCCCAGGCATGGCAGTCACTCTGGAGAGGATTAGGGTCCGGCAGGACCAAGATGGGGGCCTAGGGCCCACCCTTGTCCTTCTTCCCAGGTGGGGCAATTGCACCAAGGCAACAGCACCCATTTTTGTCCCTAGGAAACCTAGAATCCCTCACTATCTACTTAATACTTTGATGTTTTAATTGTTTTATTGTTGGGACCCTAACCAACCAACCAACCGGCAGTACAAACCTGTATAAAGTAAAAAATAAAAGCTGCCTACCCCTGTTTTCCCACCTGCTCCAGCTCACTATGAACTAGTTGGGTACAGACATTGTCAGATATTTTCTATGCATAGACAGATATACATCTTCATACATACATTACACATTACTGTTTTCACAGAAATGGCAGCCCACTGTGCATACCGTTACATGACTTGCTTTTTTTGACTTAACAAAGTGGCTCAGCCACTTTCCAAACCAGCCCAGACAGCACGGCCTCATCCTTCCTAATGACAGCTTTCCCCGCTGCTCTGCGCTGTACCTGAGTCTGTGCAAGCCGTTCTCTGCTGAGGGACCCAGGTGGTGTCCAGGCTCTCGTCAACTGCAACAAGAATCCTTGTACCTATTGAGCTCTTGAAAAGCTACACCCATGTATCCTCTTCCTTTGCTCTCCAAGGAGCCTCACTTCTGTGACTGGAAGGCCAAAATATGCATTTTCTTCTTTTGTCCCTCAGAGGCGGAGAGACTTCCTCCAAATGGTCCTGGATGCCCGACATTCTTCGAGCCCCGTGGGTGTGGAGGACTTTGACATCGTCCGAGAAGTCTTCTCCTCTACCCAGTGCAAGGCGGAGCCTTCCCAGCAGCGCCAGCCCAGAGCCCTGTCCAAGCCTTTGAGTGTGGATGAGATCGTGGGCCAGGCCTTCATATTCCTCATTGCCGGCTACGAGATGGTCACCAACACGCTCTCTTTTGCCACCTACCTACTGGCCACCAACCCTGATTGCCAAGAAAAACTTCTGAGAGAGGTGGACCTTTTTAAGGAGAAACATGTGAGTACAAGTTGGGCCCCGTTGCCCACGCGATAGCCACAGGGCAATTGATTTTGTGTTTGTAGAAGTGAAACTTATTTTAATAACTTGCTAAAGTCACATCCTAAGTCTCTAAGGTGAAATAGGAATGTTCCCCAGCTTCTCCATCTCTCTGGGTTAGCAAGTAAAAGGAAGTGTTGAGAACAACAGAAGAACAAAAGGCAAATTGTGCACATACATTCACTGTCTGGGCCAGGCCTGGCTTGTGACGGGGCTGCGAAGTCCCAGGAAGGTGTCAGGGTGCAAGGGCTGGGGCTGGGGAGAAGCAGGGCTGCCCGGTCCTCTGCCAGTGGAACTGCCATGCAGAGGGAGGCACGCGTGAGCCCCAAAATGGAGGCAGCTGGAAGGCAGGAGTGGACACAAGACGGGCCAAGCTTACGCAGGGACAGAGACTGGCGAGCTGACGGGGAAATGCAGTACGGTGAGTTGGGGCGGGTCAGTGCCGAGCGCGGATTCCGGGCGTTCCTTGTAGACCAGGTGCCTCTGGGTGGGCTTGCCGCAAACTTAACAAGGGTGCTGAGCGAGGCGACTCTCTCACCTCATTTTTCTCTGGGTGCCTGTGCGTGTATTGCTCTGATTTACGAGTTGTTAAAGAGATTTATTTTAAAAATCTATGCTTTAAAAGGAAGACCACTATAATGGAATCCTCTGTTCTGATATAATTATTATTGCAGTCACAATTTTGGAAGGTGGCCTGTTCTGTTATTGGAGCCATTAGAACATTCTTTCATACAATGAGGGAAAGCTGCTTCCCAGAAAATTCCACTTCTTTATCCTACTGGGGAGGTAGAGGCAAGGTTAGTCTTCTCCACAGCAGTTTTTAAAACTGCATTCACTCTTACTAATTTCCTCAACTTTGGAAATGAGCTCATGGTCAACTTCAAGTTCTGTGTTGTTATGACAACTGCCAATCCGGGGCTCCCCAGCCCACTGCTGTTACAATTGATTTTGTGAGCAAGAGTTTATATTTATCTTTATTACCGTTCAAGTCAGTCAAAATAATTTTGAATCTTGATTCTGCCATCTGTTATATTAGCAATTCCTCCAGCTTTGTGTCATCTGAGACTTACTAAGCATGTCTCCTATTTCATCCAAGTCATTGATTAAAATGTTGAACAGGACAAGGCTTCCCTCAAGATTGACATTGATCCATTAATCAATATTCTTTGGGCATGGAGTCTCAACAAGCCATGAATCCAAATAACCCTTCCACCCATCTTATTCTGTTTTATCTGTAGTTGTTTATTTATTTGTTTTTAAATTGAGGAGGGGGAGGGGAGTGAGCAAGGATGATTGGGGTATCACTTTACTGCAGGAGAAGGAAGGGGAGCTGGAAGGCACATCTATTAGGATGCATTTAGTTACGGGCAACAGAAACCCAACCCAAACTCTGATGTAAGCTAAAACAAAATAAATAAAAAGAAAGAAAAATCTCTTAAATTTGTATTTATGAGTACACATAATTGAGCAGCTCAGGATTAGATGTGGCTTCAGGCAAATCTTTATCCAGGCCTCAAAGATGTGTGCAGGTCCCAGGCTCTCTCCCAGTTCTTGGCCATGCTTTCTTATACTGGCCCCTTTCTTGGTCACACTGTCCCCTCGAAGCCCCAGGAAGCATGTTAAGACTGTTGGGGACGGCTTTCTTGCTTGTAACGTGGAGAAGAGAGGGTCTGTGGCTTAAAACCCTCAGCAAGAGTCATTAGGGTCACTCTAACCAGAATGCCGAGGTCACTGCCCATTTTTGAGCCAACTATTGTGGCCAGGGGTGTGGGGGCACCGATGGACTTACACCAGTCAGACCCCAAACCCAGGGTCAATCAAACTCATGTGACTGAGAACTTGGGAGGGTGACTTCCCAAAGGACGGTTAGGATGCTGTCCCAGGAGGGCATTAGAGGGAAGTTCAGCCCCCTGGTCTCAAATAAACCAGAAGGCAGGTCAAATGCAGGATTTGGAAACATCCAATGAGTGCCATGCTCTAAGAGGCAGTAGTCAAGATCCTCACTTTCAGGCAATTTAATCACCAATTGAGAAAATAAGTCATGCCTGTGAAACAATAGCTGCCTTCCAAACAAAACCCTCCAGGGAAGTAGAAGACAGTAAATAATCAAGCCTAGAATCTGTGGTGTCACTTAGAGAGCTCCCAGGCTCTGGAAGTCTGTCCCACCAGCCACAACCCATAGTCATGCCTGATTGTTAACCTGCCAGGAGGACACAGTGTTTCCATTCGAAGATCCTCACGCACAAACCCCTCACCTCGGCATGGCCTTAACTGACCTCAGGAGGGTGATGCTGTCTCACCAAACCCGGACCTCCTTCAATCCCCCAGCGTGGGATTGGGGCTTCTTCCCCAGACGACCACCTCCCGTGGGGCTGTGCAGAATGTCACAAGCACTGAGACTCCGTGGGCAAACAAACAGATCATAGCAGGTAAAATTTTTCCAACTTTAGTGTATATGAAACAATGTGGGAAGATTGTTTAGAATATATAGTCTAAATAATATGGAATTCCAGGGCCCTGTCCGCAGGAGTTATGATTCCATAAGTCTGGGCCGGGGCCCAGGAGCCACATTTCTAGTGAACAGTCCCAGGGACTCTGATGCAGATGGTCCCTGGTTCCACTCCGAGAAGACAGCCTTAGACTCTCAGGGCCCAGACCCCTCTTCCAAGAAAACACAAGGTCCAAAGCCCTGCCCCAGCCATGCAAGCCCCCAAGGTCATTTTCTTTCTCTAGGTAATAGTTGGGACAGTGTCTGAGAAGTGGGAATATCTAGAAGTTGTCTTTTTTAAAAAAAAATACATTTAGCTGCAGCCAATTAAGCCCACTGTGCTCCTTTCCTCGTGGGCCCAACGTGCAACGGCTGCAAACAGCAGCCCCCTTGGTAGTGTACGCAGCCTGTTGCTTCTGTGGGTTGCTCTGAGGACCCTGGAGACAGCCCTTTCCAATGTACTCTCATGTCTCTGGCCTTGGACTGTCCACGCTGGAGAAGAAATTTAAATAAATAAATGTGGTGATCACAATAGCCTTGCTGGCTCACACAGGGTACTCGCTCAGTGGATATTTGTATGTTTTCTTTTCTTTCTTTCCTTCTTCTTTCATTTCATTTCATTTCCTTTTTTCTTTCTTTCTTTTCTTTTTTTTTTTTTACTATAATCAGAGCTCTGTTAATATGGGCCATCTGTCAGGACATGGAAATGCAGATTAGATGTTCACACATTAGATATTTTCCTAAAAATATTCCTGAAAATTTGCATGTAAAGTATGACTTGTTATCATTTTCCTGCTGGTTTCCATTCAACAAATATTTCTTGAGTGCCAGTTAATGCCAGACTCCGGGGCTCTGCAGACCCTAAGCGCAAGGATGCTCTGGTCTAGCTGTTCCGTGACATCCCATAGAGCGTCCCATGCTTCATTAGATGCCTTCCCTCGTATTTGTCAATGAGACCGCTGCGTTTTTGCTCTCGAGTCTCTGCTCCCAGAGCCATTTCCCTTTACAGCAGTGCCCTGGGAGGCTGACGAGAGCTGCGTCCCTCCCCCAGGAGAGGGGACCGTACCTGAGGACTCTTCTGTGGACAGTGCCGGACATCTCAGCCCAGGTGGGCTCCAGGAGTAGTAAACGCTGGAATCAGTAAGACCCCGTAGCTCCAAACTGCAGCGGGCAGGGCTGCCTCCCCATGCGGCCTCATGCAGGGGCTCCAGCCTGTCACTGGGACCCAGCGTGTTCTCTCTCCCCGTCTCTCCACTCCGGTGGCTCAGGGCACACTCCGTTCGTAGGCAGGATCTCCCCGAGTGGTCTCACGACAGCTGTGTTACTAGTGCTCGAACAGTCTGAACTCAGTGAGGTACGAATAGGAAACAGTCTGGTGTTTTCTCCAATTATTTCCTTTGGATGAGCCATCGTGGCTCTCCTTTCCCTTTCCTTGATGGTACCCAGACAGATCTCAAAGGTTCGGTTTTAGGCATTAAAAAGTCCAGACCAGTGTGGTCTGGTCTGGATAAAAACTTCAGTCTTAGATGCAATTCAACACTCTCCTGTCCCCTTAGCTCAGGCTGGTGGGTGGCCTGAGGAAGCCGCCCTGGGAGGGCGGTCTGTTCCTCCACTCTCTTCCCCTTCTCCTGCGGGGTCCTCTTCTCCTCCAGGGATTGGAGACTGCGAACAGATCCCGAAATCCCTCCTTCCTGGGGCTGCTCTCAGCGCCTTCCCCGAGGTGGCCCCGGATGTGGAGCAGATGCAGGGGACATTCAGAGGGGAGGGACATCCCTGCTCCACAATTTTCTTACAGGGAGATGGGCTCCAGTTCTGGCCACCAGCTCCTGCCCACGGCTGCTTGGTGGGGAATCAGCTGTCTTGAGCAGGTTACTGGCAAGGTGGCTCAAGCTGTGATGCCTTCCGCGGTGTCCACAGGGAACACACATCTTGGCTGCACCAGGGGTGACTGCGCCCTCGGCCCTGCCATCTCTCTCCAATTACTTTTCCTTTGCTCAAATAGGCAAAGGGGACAAATTGGCAATTCTGCTGTGTAAGCAGACAACCAAGCAGAATGAAATGCCAGGCTGAGGCAGCCGTCCCCATAGCAATGAGTGGTCCTTTGGGGACCCCCTTCCTTGGCTTGGGATGGGGTGGCTTGGGAAACATTTCCCTAGGCCAATGACAGCTTGCTCTGACAAGGTTTCCTTAAATCCCTCTAATGTCTATGCGAGCTGAGGATGGGGAGAGTGGAGAGCAAGTTCAAGTCCAGCATGAAGAAGCAAGAGTTTCTTTTCTGGAAGTCTCATCAAAAGTCTCACTGCATCTTAGTGACAGCACCCATTCCTCAACCACTCACTGGGCTCGGGGGAATATGATACACTGACTGGCTTAGCGCTGGGTCTCTTGCTCCATCCTGGAGTTGTTGTCCTGGGCCTCACGTGAACCACTCAGACCTTGAATGAAAGTGGGGTACATGGCTTCTGGGTGGCCA